TATTCTTCCCTTCCCAGCTCTGTACTGCTCCCTCCAAAATGCCACCTCCAAACTTTTGGGGCAGGATCAAACATTTTGGCCAAATTTATATAATCCAGTAATATGAGAATTATATCAATTGTATGACTTGAACTAGCTCAAGATTAAAGACAAGATATCTGTTTTTTCATCATTTTTAATGGTGCTAAGTCTGTTGTACAGAAACCTGCTCACTGACAATTACAGACTGAAGAACATATTTCTTACTGCATCATCTGTGCTTGTGTTCAGCATATAATAGCAGTAAAGCATTAGTAAATTCAGGGGCACTTTTTATAAAACAGCTAGTCTATTGGTTGACTGTTCTGCACATAAGGCTAAATTGTTTTTGACAATCCATAAATGTGTTGGTAGAATATCTTAATGTGGCAGTTTTACATTTATATAGCATATTCTTAAAGAATATCTTTTAGTTTGGTTGATATTGTGTGGGTGTGTGGTTCATCTCTCTCACACACATACATACAAAGGCAAACATTTAAAAAAGTTGCCATTTCAACCTTTTAGAAATGATTGCTGCATAAACAAAACATGAGTGCACACAGCAATTTCATGTTCTAAATCCACCCACTCACTTGTTCTCTGCGATTCAAGAATCGAGCTGCATGGGCAGATTCATAAGGTTTGAGTTACAGACATCTGTGCTGAAATAATGTTCAGCATGTTAAGGTTTGGTTCATTAAGTAATTTGTTCAACAGAAAAAAGATTTTTTTAAATTGTTTTTATTTTCCCTTTAAAACATCAAAACAGATAGAGCACTATACAAACATGTGACACAACCTCAAGGAGTAGCCTTATGTAGATGAGTGAAAAAGATGGTCCATCTTAAAAAATACTATCCTAATGTTCTTTTTATATGAAACCAAATGAATCCAAACACAGGAACAGAGGAGTGACCATCTTAGATCAGGCTTATGGTCCATCTTGTCTTGCATGCTGTCTCCAACAATGGCCAGTGCCAGAGGCTTCTGAGGAAGGAGCAGGAACCAAAGAGCGGGCAAATATGGGATAATCTGTCCCCACAAATATATTGTCCTAATCCCTAACAGAGACAGGTTTAAGGTCTGAGACTTTTGTCCTCTGTGCATTTTTTTTTGCATTAATTACTCTAACTGTAAATATTTTTGTTGTCCACATAAACATTTTATCACCCATTGAAACTTGTTACATTTGTGGTCTTAATGAAATCTTGTGACACTGAGGGTGTGTCTAGACTACAGAGTTTTGTCGAAAAAAGTGGATTTTTGTCGACAAAACTATACCCGCGTCTACACTACTACTGAGTTCTGTCAACATAACGTTGACAGAACTCAGCAGTTTTGTCGACGCTGGCAAACCTCATTTTACGAGGCATAACGCCTTCTGTCGACAGAGTTCTGTCGACAGAAGGTGTTATTGCATGTAGGGTTGTGTCTAGACTACAGGGTTTTGTCGACAAAGCAGCTTGCTTTGTCGACAGAACTGAATGTAGTCTAGATGCTCTTTGTCGACAGAAGCTTAAACTTCTGTTGACAAAACCCTGTACAGGCAGTCCCCGAGTTACGCGGATCCGACTCATGTTGGATCTGCAGTTACGAACAGGGCCCTCTCCCTGGTCTCCAGCAGACCAGGGAGAGGAAGCAAAGCGGCAGAGCACGCGGGCAGCGGACAGCCCAGACGCGTCTGGGCTGTCCGCTGCCCGCGTGCTCTGCCGCTTTGCTTCCTCTCCCTGGTCTGCTGGAGACGGGCCCCGTTTGTAACTGCGGATCCGACGTAAGTCGGATCCG